AAGCTGCAGAGCGACAAGTGCGGGGTCCCGGCGGCCCGGTCCCCGGGCGGTGCCGCTGCCGCTCCTCAGGTCCGCCTCTGTTTGGTGCCGACAACGCCTCTCGCGTTTTCTCTGTTGTGTCACCTCGGCTGTAACGCTGCGCCGTGGAAACGGCTTTGGTGGACTAATCCAAAAGCAAACAAAATGTCCGCCCAGGGAGGGAATAGGAAGTCCCGCCTTAGCGTCTTCCGTAGGAACGGAAACGCCCCTTTTCTGGGCCTTCATTGGCCCAGCGCCGCCAAGGCTCCTGGGTAATGTAGTTTCCACAGCACCAACGATGGAGTAGGGATACCTGCGCCTCCGAGCTGCCCTCGCCTGGAATCGGCTTTGATAGAGCGCCGCTTCCTCTTAACAGAGCCGCACCGATATTTCCGGTGAAATAAGTCAGAGAAGACAAATACTGCATGGTATCACTTATATGTGGAGTCTAAGAAATACAATAAACTACTGAATGTAACAAAGAAAGAAACAAACAAAAAAACAGACCCACAGATAAAGAGAACAGATTAGTGGTTACCAGTGGGGAGAGGGAAGGGAGGAGGGGCAATATAGGGGTAGGATATTAAGAGGTATAAACTATTGGGTATAAAACAAGCTACAAGGATATATTGTACAAGTTGGGAAATATAGCCAATGTTTTATAATAGGTATAAATGTAGTATAACCGTTAAACATTGTGAATCATAATGTAAACATGTAACATACTATATTGTATAGCAACTATACTTCAATCTAAAAAGGTGCTGTTTCATAGCTAAATACATTATGTTCATGAAATAAAATTATGTTTTATTGTTAAAAGAAAAAGGCTGTAGGAATATACTGTGGCCTCTTAGGCCCTCCATGAGTAGAGAAAGAAACAAGCCCCAGCAGTTTATGACTAGAAGAAATAAGGAATGCAGAAAAAAAAACAAGGCAGTCAGGCAGAGAAATAACCATAACCTAAACAACAGATCAGCTCCAAGGACTCCCAGTTGTATCTCAAAGGTAAAGTCTAATGCACATTCCTCAATTGTTTTACAGAAACCAGACCCAACCAGATAGAGAATGAAGACCCTGTGCATGTTACCCCCAGATGGGCTGAAGTGTAAAGATTTGACAATATTGACCCCTGTGACCTCACCTGGTTACTTCACCGTCTACCAGTTTGAAAAGCACAAGCTGATCACGTTCCCCACAATTTTCTCCCTCATTTTGTCTTTGAAAACCCATCCCTAAAAGCCACCCAGGAGTTCAGGTCTTTTGAACATTAGCTGCCTTTCTCCTTGCTTGGCATCTTGCAGCAAACACTGTACTCCCTTCACCACAACTTGGTGTCAGCAGATTGGCTTTGCTGCATTGCAGGCAAGCACACTCAACTTTGGGTTGGTAATCGTCTCCTGATCCAACTGGGCTTTTCCATGTGTGCTCACAGGGACTTAGTCCATCACTAGCCCTTTATACTCCAGTGGCTTACTTTCATTCTACATATTAACTTACATTTGGCTCTCTATGTCTCTGCCCACTTTTTCTCACTTATGTGTAAGTTTCAATAAACCAGTTCATTCATTAACTGTATTTGTTTGGCCTGATCTGTCATTTGATCGCTATAAGAATCTCCTCTCTACTTGAGAGGGTAAACTGTCACTAGGTATCAGGGAGATGGACCACCCTTGGCTGGTCCAGCATGACATCGCCCCTCCTCCTTTCCAGAATCAGATAGTACTGAACACCTAGTTCCAGAAAGTTCCAGGAAGGAGCGAAAACTTCATTATCTTTTGTCCTCATAAGTCATTCCAAAGTGGTGATGAAGTTCGTCACTGCTTAACCTACAGATGAGACTTAGAAGAGAAAAATCTGGGAAATGAAGATGGACACGAGTAAAGGAGTCAGTGGTAAAGGAGACAGTGGAAGAACACATAATAAAGTGTTGTCATCTCTTTTATCAACAGCTGCCTGGTGTCAACAACAGTCCAGCATCCTTCCCACCTGCAGGGAGTTGGGTTTGTAACATGGAAATGGAAGAGTAGTGGAATACGAAGAAGGGATGAAGAGGAGAACGCTAGGGGGAGAGAAGTGTTGGGTTTGAGGTTTTTTGTCCTGTCTGAACATCAGTGCTGGGCCCTTAAGTAGGGAAGGGCACAGATGAGTTTGGGGTAATGGAGGGAGGTGAACACTTGGGATCCTTGGCTATCTCATCACCTGTATCCAGAGCTCAGAGTCTTTGCTTCACCACCGTTTTTGATGTTGGGCGTTCCACTGGAAAGGAAATTTGGTAATATATAACTGGCTCATTCCAAGGTTTTATTGTGACCCTCAAGATCCTCTTTGATTCCTTCAAGAGAAAGAAAAACTGCAGCACCGGCTGCTCAGGAACAGTGGAATACAGGCCCATCCATAATAAGGACAGTCTCTAGATGTGTGACTGGCAAAGTTCTTGACCCGGATTTCCCTTCCACCGTCATCTCTGCAGCGGTATCCACTTCTCAACGTTTGGCGGTTTGGGAACTACATTACCCAGAAGGCGCTGCCCTACGCCGCGGTGGCTCTCGGCCAATAAAACAGACGTTTCTGACGTGCAGAACCGCTGGGCGGGACTTCCGGCGTCGGCTTTGGGGCGGTCATTTCGGGGTTTCGGCGGTCGGTCAGCCTGATCAGAGGCTCCAGAAAGGTTGCTGTTGAGCTGAGGTGACCAGAGTGCGAAGGCGCGAGAGGAGACGGACGTTGTCTTCCTTGCACTGAGGCGGGTCTGACGTTCCGCAGCGGCGCCCGGGGGTCTCGCGATTCTGGGTCGGGGACTGGGATTGCTGGGGCCCGACCGGGACCTCCGCTCCCGGTGCCGCTCCTCCCACGGGCTCCGATGGCGGTGGCCGCGCTGAGGGACCCGCCTCAGGTAAACGCGCGTCCTCCGGCCCGCACCGCCCTCTCCCGCCGGACACTAGAGACCCCACTGATCGTCCCCTGCTCAGGCCCCTGGGTCCAGCTCTGTAGGGCGCTCTGGGTGGGGTCCCCATTTCTGCCAGCCAGTATGATGGGGTGTGAGAGTGGGTTACAGGCAGAGTCACAGCCTTGGAACAGTCGCTGAACTCTGGGCCTTGACCTTCAGGTTTGTCTCGAGTCTGCACGAACAGTCGAGGGGACGACTCACGCGAAAATGCAGGCCGAGCAGCTGGCCCTTCATTCTGAGGCCGCTGGTGGCCCCGGACGGTTGTGGATATGAGGGACTCAGTCTATGTGTCGAGTTTTCCAAAGGTTTCTCAGGGAAAAACAGACGGTGATGGGGGTGGAGACGTGGAGACCTGTGAGGAAGTCAACACAATAGAGAGTTCTGGTGGGTACTGAACCATTGCTAGGGAGCAAGAGGGAAGGGACGATCAGATCTCTGACTGGTTTTAAAAACTGAACAGACAGGACTTCTGGTGCACCAGATGAGGCTGTGAAAAAGTGGAAGGACAATCCTGTTTTTTGGTTGGCACCGTTGTTTCCTGAGTATCTGGAAGAATGGACATGGGGAATTCAGTGCAGGGAGCAGGTTTCAGGGAAAAGATTAGGAGTTGGGTTTTTGGACATGGTAACCCTGAGCTGTCCCAGAGTGAAGAGGTCACATGGGTGGCTTGCTCACTCATCTATGGGGTGCTGGGGAGGGAGCTGGACTGGAGATATCTAAGGGATGGTGGGTGGTGGCCTGGACCAGGGCGAGGCCTGGGGCTCATATTTAGGAGGGAGAATCTTCAAGTTTTTATTTCACATGAGCCTGGAGGGTAGGACTGCCTCCAGACGGATGGATTCCTGTGCTCTGAAGTTGCTCTGGCTGGTGTGTACAGGAGTGGAGGGTTATGGGTTATGAGGACCCGGGCCTGGGACGGAGACTGAGGTGGTCAGTGGTGTAGATCTGGCTCTCCAGGCTCAGCAGATGCTTGTTTCCACTCCTTGTGAGGAAAAAGAATAGTCAGCCAAGCTAGTCGAGCATCCCCTTCGGTGCCTGAGTTCTCCCAGCTTTTAGGGCAGGAGGGAAGAGGAACTGCTCCAATGGAAGGGCCCCATTCCAGAGAGAGTAGCAGCCAGGTTGCCAACAGGACTAATGTCTACTCAGTTTTCTCAGATCCAAGCCCCCAGTTTATTAAATTTTAAGTTTATGAAATAAGTACTCATTTAATCCTAACTGGTAAAAATACATATGTGTGTATACATACATTTGTATATATTTACATATATACATATACATACATAGGCAGTTCAAATAACATGGATTTAACAAATTAAGGGGTATAAGCACTTAATGGTTGAAATCTTAATATGCTGCTCATCCATTTGATTAAGTCAAACAGTTTCAATCTCGTGTTTTCTTAAAGAGCATGTTAAAAAACTATATTTTCAATACCCATCAGTTCGTTTGCATGGCAGTGTCAAGAGAAGCATCACTTATGAGGACAGTAAAAGTCAACACTAGTACCTGACGCACGGAGGTGAGTTTGATGCAAACAGTAGCCCCATTGAGTGGACATCATTATTATCCCCATTTGACAGATCGGAATACTGAGGCCCAGGGAAGTGGAGTATCTACCCAAGGTCACACAGCTGGTAAGAGGCATCATTGAGGACGGATGATAGTGTGAGGGGCCTTGGGTGAGCCTTTGGGGCCCAACATTGTTGGCCAGGGACTAGCACGAGATCAGATGGGGTCCTCCAGGACAGCTGTAGGCCTGATGTGAGAGACACGTGGACCTGGACTTCGAATAAGCATCAGAGGGAGTGGAGACTGGGGAGAGGACACAGAAGTGGACGAAGCTGAGGGTGTCTGAGATCTGCATGTGGTTCCAGGTGGCTGAGGGTGAAACAGGGATAAGGACCAAGTAGGGAGACCTTCAGAGCAGGCCTGGGAGCTGCCTTTGGTGGTCAGGGCCTTTGAGGCACTTGGACAGGGTGGGGTTCTGATTCATTTGCTGAGCACTCTCAGGATGCGCTGTGCACACTGGCCGGTGGCGAGGCCAATACCTGCTGTGAGGCGTGGTGGTGACAATGAGGGGTCGGAGCTGTGGAGGGAGGTGTGGTGTAAAGAATGATGTACGTGCTGGGGGAGCATGTAAACCGATGGCCTCAGGCCCTTGTACTGGGGGCTGTAGGGAGAACGGTGATCAGTTCTGGTTGTGCTTGGGAAGGACAGTCTGGAGGATCCCGGGCAAATTGTCTGGCAGGAGAAGGGTGAGGCTCTGCAGGCCAGGCCCAGAGCTGAGATGGCACCTGCCCACCCACTGCCTGTTGTTGCTGAGGGCAGTACACAGTGATGGGTGGGACAGCCGGGAGAGGGTGGGCATCAGTGACACCAGGGCTGGTATCCTTCTGAGGTGGGGAGCCTGGGAGGAGGGTGGGCGTCGGGGGAGACGCCTGGAGTCCTGGGAAAGGAGGCTGCATATAACCTTGACCATCCCCATCTTGACAGGGCCGAGTGACGTTTGAGGATGTGGCCGTCTACTTCTCCTGGGACGAGTGGGGGCTCCTGGATGAGACCCAGAGACTCCTGTACCGCAGTGTGATGCTGGAGAACTTCGCACTGATGGCCTCTCTGGGTAAGGTCCTCGCACCCCACAGGTTTCCCCCTTCCCTTCTCCAAGAGCAAGCCCATCCACCCCAGAGCGGGACCACGGGTCCTGCACCTTCCCCACATCTGGTAGGAGGCGTTGTGAGTTGCAGGATGGGCTAGGTGCTCTACCCGTTCTGTCCCCAAGCTGCCCCAGAATTGTGCAGGAAAGGGTTTGGGGATCAGAGGTGTTGCAGTTAGACTGATGCATCACACCCTATTGGCCCCTCCCTGGCCTGGTGACCCTGTGAGAACCCATGGGGGTTCTGGTCCCCAGTTCTGCCCTCTTGCTATGGCTGGCATGGGATCTACCTGGGCCAGGAATTGAGGCACTAACATGGCCACTGCTGGGCTGAGTTTTTCCTTACAAGATCCTTTCCAAGGTTCTTTTTTGTAATATTTAGTTTTCATTCCTGTGGTCTGCTGTGGAGTTGGTGGCTCTGACCTGCCTATCTTGTCCCTCCCTTAGGATTCACATCTTCCAGGACCTGTGAAATTACCAAGTTGGAGTGGTGGGGAGAGCCCTTTCTGCCTCCCCCTGGAGTCAGGACTGCAGCCGTGCCAAGAGGTACCTGGAGGGAGGAAGGGGGAAGTGTAAACTCTGGGATGGGTTCAAATCATACCCGGAGTCGCTCCAGTGGGCTCACGAGCCAGTGTGCTGTACGAGCACATCTGGGCTTAGAGACTTGTAGGTCTGTGGAGAACGGGCAGCGTGTCCCTGATCTGAAAGGCCGCTGCCAGGCGCTGGCTGGCAGTCACGATTTGATCTCATTTGACAGAAGTTGCTGTACAGGTGCCCAAGCTGGTGTCTCCTGTGGCTGTGATGGGTCCTCTTAAGATGGGAATACATATTGCCTGTTCTGCCCAGCATCAAAGGGAGGTACCTGGTGGGTAAAGAACTGGGGGGACGCTCTCTGGGTCCTGGCAGTAGTTGTGGGCAGTGGCTGGGCTGTTTAAATGCCTCATGGACACCTTGGTAATTGCACTGGGTTCCTTCAGAGGTAAAGGCAACCAGGGGCTGTGACTAATGGGTAACAGGCACTGAATAAAACGTACTGCCTGGGACCGGGAGGGAATAGTTCGATGGTGAAGTACGTGCTTAGCATGCACGAGGGCCTGGTTCAATCCCCAATATGTCCATTAAAAACCAACCAACCAACCAACCTAGTTACCACCCCCCAAGAAACCAAACAAAACCTGTCCTGGCCAGACCCCCACAGCAAGTGGCCACTGGCGCCGCTGGGTGTCTTCAGTCACCTCGATTATGTTAGGCACTGGAGCCTTGGTCGGGGTAACTTGAGCTCTGAAGGTTTGCTAGTCAGGAGCTAAGTGCTAGTCTTCGGAAGGGGAAACAGTGGGCATAAGTGCCCCTTCTTTTAGCAGGTCTTGAACCAACGACCATTAACGCTGTATCATAAATGCTCTCAGTGACCACTCAGCACACGTTTCCCCATATCTTCGAATGAAATCTTTTAAGAATTTCTGGATTTCTAGTTTCATAAAATTGTGAGTTTCTCTTTAGAATTTTTTGTGATCTCCCGTGCTCTTGAGCTGCTGGGACTGGGAGGACCTCGGGTCCTTCCTCGCTGTGGCCCATCTGGCGGGCAGCATCTTCCCTCGCTCGGCTGGGCGGGGTGCACTCGGAGGCTGTGGTGGCTGGGCTCCTTTGGGGGTGTCTCCTAGACCTTGGGAGCTGGCGAGCTGGCATGCTGACAGGCAGCGGTGCTAGAGCCCAGCAATGTCACAAACATGTTTTATCTTGTTTTTCACGGAGGTACTGGGGATTGAGCCCAGGACCTCACACATGCTGAGCATGGAGCTGTACCCTGACCCCTTGCCTTCCTTAAATAATTGGCTAGCCTCCTCTGGTTCTTGGGAGATACTGGAATTGAACGTTCCTGCTAAGATCCTGGCCTGCAAGATCTTGAGCCACTGACCTGCAGGGATGGGGCCCCTAGTGCCCATGGGATCAGCAGACAGAGATCAGCAGCAGCGAAGAGGAGGCCGTCAGAGCCACCGACCCTCACGGGTGCCTGCCGGACCTCCTCACAGGGCTGCAGCATCTCTGTCTAGGACTGAGGGG